ATTTAAATCCTAAATATATGCAAGACAGATGATACCACTGTGAGTATAATAATCGCATTGTGATTATACTTTAAAAGAAATGTCCTTATCATGTGGAGAAACATGCAAAGGATCTACAGACTAGATAACATGATGTCTGATGAGTCCTCCAAGGTAAAGGATGAGAATTAAATAAGCTCTTGAGGCTGGAGATAGTCACCCAAGAGGGATTTATTGTGTTAATCTACCTGCTTTTATATATATCTTAAATGTTCCAAACAAAATAATCTCAGGTATGCAAACATTAAAAAAAAGGCTAAGTAATGGAGAATGCAATCTGAAAATAAAATAGAAAATTTAGCATTACATACCTTTAAATGTAGACTCAACTTTGGATCAGCAAGTAAACTAGTATAGGTTCTAAAGACGTCAGGGAATGAGCTGTGATTTGTATTAAAAGATACAGATGAATCGATCTAAAAGAGGGGAAATGAAAACGTCATATTTCTATATATGCCCCTATTTCTTGTAACAAAACTTTCACAATTAAATTTAAGAACTGGACTTTAGCTGTATTTCAGTAATGCTTGTTCTAAAATATTTTTTCAATTACTTATTAAGACAATGCATGTAAAGCTACACTAAAAAAGTAAAAGAAATAAGTACAATAAATGATAATGTGCAAGAACAAAAATATTAATATAAAACTAAGTTAAGGCAATGAGCAATCATCTATTAAACATATTTTTTTAACTTATCAAACCAACTAAGATGTAGTCGATCATGCAGTATGGCCCTTCTAGCCAAATTCTCATTTGCCACATCCATTTTGTGATGTATTGTAGATTATAGCCTCTGTGCTTGTGGTTAGGACCCCATTTTAGAAAGAGTTATCTATTAAAGGATTAGGGTGGGAAGTATCTTTAGACTCCCCTCCAACTTTGCTGCGAGTTCTGTTACTAGATTAGCCTGGGATGCAGCTTAGACCCAACTTTTATGGCAGGTGTGATGAAGCCAGCATCTTGTTTTTCCTGGGGTAGGATCAACTGAAATGAAAAGCCACATCTCCATCTGAGCTGCCCCCTTTGGTGACCTCAGTGTCCTGACTGAGCTCTGGTAGAAGCAAGAAGACCTGTTTTGACTTTCAGACCTTTGGGCTTCTGGTTCTGGACCGTGCATTTGCCTCACCTCTGCCAGACGCTCAGATTTGGGGTTTAACAGCATCGACAACCAGGTAAGGCATTCTCTTAAAATTTCGTGAGTTTCTGTGATATTTTGCAGTGATCGCAGAGCCCAGGCCCCCAAGAGACTCGACTCAATGGGAAAAATAGCATCTTGAAAGTGTTGAACATTTAGAACGTGTTTAATCTTCAACTTCTTGGAACTAGTATAGTATCAATTCTTCTAAAATAAATGATCATCACACCAATGAACTCTTGGAGCAACATCAAACAATTTTTCAAAGACAGGCATTACAGAATCCAAAGCAACAGAATACGATCGCATTTTACCATCTCTCAAAATACCTGTAAAATTTTTGCCAACAAAGCCAGCGTGGCAATTTTACTCTCAGGAGCAGAATCGCAGGCCCACCATGATGCACACTTCTTCCAGTTCTGTAGAACGGCGGTCACAAGCTTCAGTCCTTGCTGTTTCTGGAAGGCTCGGTCCTTGAAGCTCTGATCTAACATGCCATTCAAAACAGCACTCACCTGCAACAAGTTCATTGCGATGACAAGGTCAGACACCTGAGACTGGCAGCTATAGGACAAACGTTACTTTCACTGCAAAGCTACTCTTGGAAAGGTAAGACCTTCCCTCTTTATTTTTAAGTTTATCTACTCTACAGTAGTACATTTACCTACTTCACAACTCCTCAAAATTGAGAACAGCACTATAACATGAAAATCTCCCATATAAAGCATGTTGTTATGTACTATGGTCTAATTTACACAGACACTAAATAAGTGTCACTCAATTAAACACTTAATTTATCAAGCATTTAATTTATTTGCACATTGGTCACCAGCATCAGCAACCAGTTTCTGGGGAACATCCATCAGAAACTAAGGTTTCAACACACCACATATGGGAGGTTGGAGAGCCAAGCGGACCCATGAATGACTTGTCACAACCCTTGCAGTATAGGCAATACTTGAACACTAAGTCAAATGACAAAGTTCTAGGTTTGGGGTAAGTTTGTTAATTTTCTAGCATTTTCCCCCTTTTATGTGTGATCAAGGTATACATGAGCCTAATCTAAGGTGACCAGACGTCCCAATTTTTAATAATTTTTCCCACGTCCCGCCGCATTTTTAAAAAGTCCCGATTTTTTGAAAGAATGCACAACAAGCTAGGGTATATGGTTTTCAGCTGCCATGTGGCTATTTCACCAGGAGATGATTTTTATTAATGGTGTCCCACTTTACCAATGTTAAAATCTGGTCACCTTAACCTAATCATAGAAATCCACAGATAGATTTTTAATAACAGCTGTCCCTTGTCTTCCTTCCACCCCACCGCGTTTCCTGTGGTCGGTCAACAGACAAGTCCTTCAGCTGCTTTTGGGGTGCTTTCTCATGAACATACTCATATTGTTAGTACGTGGTTTGCGGCATTCTTGATTGGACTCCATCTGGAAGATGAGAGCTTAGTCTGTCGTTGGCCACCACCACCATACAAGCACACATGCTCACACTCATGTGAGCAAAGCACAGGCATTCAAATACACACACGTGTCCTGTCCCACCATCTTGATAATTATACTCTAAGTTTGGCAAGATAGTCGATATTTCCTTCATGCTGACTCTGTAAACACTATTCATAGATGGTTCACGTGCACAACCAAGGCCTTGCCTTTCCTTTGTATTGCTCTCCCTGAAGATAGTGGGAGAGGCTTCAGAAAGTTTGCAGAAATGGGGAATTCAAAGATAAGAAACATTTCTGCAAACATTTTCAAGATCCCTTGTATTTGTATACTCACTTTGCTGTTTTGGAGTGACTATCATTCTTTGTTATTAAACACTCCTAAATTTAAATTCAATTTCCTCAAGTCCTCTAAACACATCAGAAAGGCAATCTATCAGTCTCCTCAGAGGACTAACCTTTTAAAATTCCTAGAGACACACTATCAACCACATGTACATGTGTTGGCGTACACACGGACACACACACACACACACACACACCATCATTTTTCAGATACTCCTTCACATCTCTCATTGGAGCCCTTATTTCCTGGGTCTAATGTCTTTCTTAGATTTTCTGCCTTATTTTTATGAAATCCTCTCTCTAGTTGCTTCCTATTAAAAAGTGCAGAAGAGACAATCTGGCTGGTTTGTTTGTTGACATAACTGAAAACACATTTAGTCCCCTTTCACACCTCACGGATAACCAGCTTGATTTAGAACTCCAGCTGGGAAACTGTCCTTTGAGGTTTCAATTCCTGGTCTTGTGCGGCCACAGTGCTGCTGAAAAGACACGTCTGAGAAGTAACTAGTGTTTCTCCTGTGGGAACTTTCTTGGTATTTCCTCTTGAAGAACCAGCAGGGTTTTGAAATATATTCCAGGAAAAGTTGTGTCCACAGGGTCCTTTCCTCCAGAAACCTCACAGCAACACTTGGTTCTGAATAGCATTGCCGAGCTACGCCTTTCAGACTGTGATCCCAAGTGTCCTCAGCTCTTCTTTCTCATTTTCACACTACCCTCTGTGACAGTTCCTCCATTTCAACCTTCAAACTCATTCATCTTAATTTCTGAAACCTAAGCTGAATTTCCAAGAGCTCTGTTTTGTTCTCCAATGTTGTTTTCTCTAGGTAACTGTTTCATGGTTGCATTGTCTTCTCTAAGATCATCATCTTTTCAGATTCACATTTTAGCAATCTCTGACCTCTGCCTCTGGGAGGCGCCCACCCCCCCTCCCTTCACAGTGAGTTGCAGCAGGCTCATCTGCCTGGCGAAAGATCGCTGATGCTGTCAGATGCGGGCAAGCTGGTTCTGGCTCATAGTGTCAGAACGACCCTGGGGACAACAACGCAAACCGCCACACCGTCCTGAGCCAGCCTCACAATTGTTCTCATGTTTGAGTCCCTTGTTGCAGCCGCTATGTCAATCCATCTCATTAAGGGCCTTGCTCTTTTTCACGGCCACTCCACTTTACCAAGCATGATGCCCTTCTCCAAGGACTAGTCTCTACGGATAACATGCCCAAAGACCTGAGAGGAAGTTCCACCATGCTTGCCTCTAGGAAGCATTCTGGCTGTACTTCTTCCAAGAAAATTTTGTTTGTTCTCTTGATAGTCCATGTACGTTCAATAGTCTTTACCATCACCATAGTTCAAATGTATCCATTTTTCTTCCATCTTCCCTAAGCAATGTCCGACTTTCACTGCTTATGAGGTGACGGAAAATACCATGCCTTAGATCAGTGGTTCCCAACCTTCCTAATGTCACGACCCTTTAATACAGTTTCTCATGTTGTGGTGACCTCAACCATAAAATTATTTTCGTTGCTACTTCATAACTGTAATTTTGCTACTGTTATGAATCGGGAGACCCCTGTGAAAGGGTCGTTCGGCCCCCAAAGGGGTCGCAACTCATAGATTGAATACAGCTGGCTTAGATGCACGTATAAGTGTTACATGGGCACAATGAAGTGTTCTGGAATTCCCATTCTTCTCAAGTTTGTTGCGATCCACACAGTTGGATACATTTGCATAGTCAGTGAAACAAAGTAAAATCTTTCTGGTGATTTTCTTTGCTTTCAGCCAAGATCCATGTGGCATTAGCAATAATGTCCCTTGTTCCTTGCCCTTTTCTGAATCAGCCTGAACCTCTGGCAACTCCCTTTCAATGTACTGCTGCAACCAATGTTAGATGATCTTCAAAAAAACCTGACTTGCCTGTGTTATCAACTATTGTTCTATAATTCCAGCATTCTGTTGGGTCACCTTTCTTTCAAATGGATACACGCATGCACTCTTCTAGTAGCTGACTGCCAAATTTCTTGGCATAGACAAAGGAGTATTTTCAGTGCTTCCTCAACCTACTGAAACAGTTCAGTTGGTATTCCATCACTTTTCGAATCCTCTTTTGGAGTAATGCCTACAGTGCTGCTTAAACTCTTTTTCGGTACCTTCAGTTCTTGCTCATATGTTACCTCTTGGTATGGTTAAAGTTAATGAAAACAACAGTAAAGCTAAGAGGAAAACTGTGAGAATCCTGACAGCGTTAATGAAAAAAATCATTAAAATTTTGATTGGGGAGGGTATGAAAAAAGAGGAGCTCAGATAACCCCCTCAGGGCAATCACGAGAGTAGCGATACCAGGAGGGGAAAAGGAAGGTGCGGGGAAGAAAAGGGGAACCAATCACAATGATCTATCTATAACCCACTCCCAGGGGGATGGACAACAGTGGGTGAAGGGAGACAGCAGTTGGTGTAAGACATGGAAAAAAAATTAATGAATTATCAAGGGTTGATGAGGGAGGGAGGGTGGGGAAGGGGGGAAAATGAGCTGATAACAAGGGCTCAAATAGAAAAAAAATGTTTTGAAAATGATCACAGCAACATATGTACAAATGTGCTTGATACAAGTGATATATGGATTGGTTACTTTTGTTTGTTTGTTTTTAAATCATTTTATTGTGGGTTCTTACAGCTCATCACAATCCATCCATCCATTGTGTCAAGCACAAGGGCTCTACTTGAGACCTTGGTATCAGCTTATTTTCCCCCTCCCCCACCTTCCATCATGAACTCTTGATAGTTTTTTTTTCCATGCCTTACACCAACCGCTATCTCCCTTCACCCATTTTTCTGTTCTCCGTCCCCCTGGGAGGGGGCTATCTGTAGATCATTGTTATTAGTTCCCCCTTTCTCCCGATATATGGATTTCTGTAAGAGCCATAAGAACCCCCAATAAAATGATTGATTAAACAAACAAAAAAGAAATTTGAATCAGGTCTCCGCTTGTCTGATTTGGAGGCTGAATACAACATGGTTAAGTTGGCACTCTCAACCTTTTAAAAAATGTGACTAAAGAAAGATATGTAAGCCTTGGTTAGCTATAAAGAGCTCTCTCATCGGCTCCCCCTTCTCTCCCTGTCCTCCTTCCCCTTCCCCTCTCTCCTGCCTTCCCCTCTCTCTCTCCACGTGGACCACCAAGTGAGGCTAAGCTGCTAGGTCAGGCAGCACGAAACATGGTACTACAGGAGGATGCTATCTTGCACTCAGAAGATAGTTTAATGAAAATAGCAATAATAACGACACATCTTTAGTACCAGCAAGAAGCTATTCAGAAGAATGTCGAGCAGTCATAGATCTCCAGGACCAGCTGAAGCACCTGCTGAAATAGGCAAGCATGTAACTTTGCCGAGGAGGAAGAACCTTACTGCAACCATCATGTCATGGGCTGAGTGTCCACTTTCTTCTCCAAACGTATGGTAGCAAAGCTTTGGGAAGTGCTTCTAGAACTGGACCAACCCCACTTTAAGTTGCTCTGTTTAATTTGGTACTAAAGTAGAACTGAAAGGAGTTTTTGTTTTTCCTCTTGAATTGTTAATATATGTGGAAAGTCCTATTGTCTAAATGTGATTCTTAGCAAACACTGAGTCATGCTTATACTTGAGAAATAGAATTTTTAATGTGAACCAGTAAGGATTCTATTACAAGGATTTGTTTCAAAGATTATTTCTTTTCACCGTGCATTCAATAAATATTTTTATTTTATGGTCACAGAATGGTGTTTATCAAATAATTCAGAGAAGAAACTTATTTTATCTGTTTCCGCAAATTTTGACATAGTTTGCTTAATTGAGAACCAGGCTCACGGTCTCCAAGCTGGCCAGCTGCAACCTCCTGCCTTGACCTGCATTCCGAGGATTTCTTTGTTGTTGTGACCCTTAAGATTAAGTGGCCTTGGGTTCAGTTTGCAGTTTTCTTTATCATCAACACATTGATTTGTATGACATTATTGGATTTGTATGACATTATTGACCAACATGAAGGTAGTTGAGTTCACTGTGTGGCATCAGGTTGTGCTCTAAGGTTGTGACGATGTTATCTGCATAGACATTTGCCTGTTTATTACATTCATCTCATTAAATAAATGCCTTATCCACTAAAACAAAAAAATGTGATTAAAGCAACTAATGTAGCAAAAGGTGTGAAATCATTAACTACAAAGCAAAGAACCCAGACCATTGAAGACGTTGAATAAATCAGGAACACCTTGGTGCAATACCACATTCAAGACAGTGACATGAGAGAAGGCTAAAAGACTCCACAGTGATTTGAAGTCTTGGAAAAATGGAATTTATATGTGTAATTTTGGGGCCCCAGAACCAATTAGTTGGTTTTTCATTATTTCTTATGGGAAAATATGTCCAGTTCTCCAACTTTTTTGTGTTCAAACATGAATTTGGAGCATATTTAATTCAATGACTGAGTTATCACTGTACTGCAAAAGTTCAACGTGCTAAATCCTCTGTGAGTCAAGGGTCTACTATAATTTTATTGCTAACTTTAAAAATTTACAAATTGCAAGTGCAATGTATCAAAAGATATTGGTCTACAACAGCCAACTTTTAGTTGGAATATTTTACGCTCCTTTAAAGTTGTGGAAGTGTCTGCCTACAAAGCAGATTAAATTCCCCAATACTACCAATTGAGCAAACTAAAGGCAACTACCTATCTACCAAGTGCTTACCTCAAAGGTTCAACATGTGGGGCACAGGGGCAGTCAGTCTCCTTGTACAGGGGTGTGCATGTAAGTGGGAATGTGACGACAGGTCTATGAGACCTCATGGCAAGTCCTGGGAAAATCCAGGACCTGCACAGCGTTGCCACAGAAAGTCAGGGCTGGAGACTTAGCGGGCATGAGGGAATGAAAACAACCAATGCTTTAACATCTGCTAACATACCTGAACTCTTGATAAAGACTTCAACTTTCCAGAATGAGATGTTTGGGTTCTAATGAAATATTCAGGTACACATCAATCCTTTGAAAAGCACATTATATGAGAAAAGATTTACTTAAAGGAAAACTTAAGTACCATTTTGGGATTCTCCTCAGATGAATTCATGAGTTCCGTCACAGCCATATCCACATTTTTCAGCAATTCAGTGTTGATGATTTCTGAGAATAAGCTATAAAAATACTCTCCCTGGGAGAAGCTGACTATGCTTTTCTGTAACCGACCCGAGGAAGGCATGGACAATACTGGTGTGCTCAGGAGGAGGCCCACCAGCTGCTCACACTGAAAAGCAAAGGGAAGGAGAGATGACAAGAACACACATTTGAACATGTCACAGAAAGGTTTCCTAAGGAGCTACTAACTTTGAAGTTGCAATATCATGCAATAAGATCGAAAGAGAGTCTGAGAGGTGAAGGTCTGGGTGCATGTTAAAACTAAAGGGTACTGACAAATTGCATGCATTGTAACTAGCCTTAAATTACTAGGTTTCCTTTTGGTACAGAAAACTTTCCATATCTGTTTCTCCTAAATTCCAGAAGATGGTGATGATGGTGGTTGTTTCAGAAGGATCGTCCAGTTGTTTTTTTTTAAGTTTTTTGAAAGGTTAATTATGGGAAAAACAATCAAAATATTTGTGTGGCATTTGGGGCTTTTGGAATCATTTCTAGAGGTTCTCCCAAACCATTCACCGCAAAAACTGCAACAGTAGAGAGGGAGAGGCCACTTGTTGACAATGTTCACCTCTACGTTCACAAAATGGCCTCTGTGTAAAAACCCTTTGGAAATAAAAAGTGATAGACAAAGAATGTTGTTACATTTTTCTTTTAAAAAGTAAAAAAAAAAAAAAACTTTTAGAGAGAAAGTCCCATCCACTCATATAAATCATAAACAATACTTGTAGCGCTAAGACAGTATCAAACTTGTGAGTGAGTCCCCACCACCTCCCCAGGGCAGTGCATCAAGCAGATGCGCTTCCTACCGGTCCTCCAAAAGTAAAGGCCAGCTCCAGGAGTCCACTGGCCAACCGCTTACAGCTGATGTCTAGTGCAGGAGGGCACTGACCTTCTCCAGGTGTGAGGTCTTTATAAACCATAGAAAGAAGTTTGGGGCCAATAGAATAATGTAGATCTGCAGACTAAAATAAAGCCAACACTGAAGTGTCCAACAAAAGATATTTTACAGAAAAAAAATAATTTCACAATTTTCATTAGTTAAAAAAAAACCCACAGGGGGAGTGCTACCCTGTCCTATAGGGCAGCATCAAAGGCAATGAAAGACTATGTAACATCACAAAGTATAAACTTAGAAGAAAATTAACTTTACTTTCTACCCTACATTTTTTCATTTAGGTTAGCCACAAAGACGATAGGAGCCCTGCTGGCATATTAAATTATATACTGGGCTGCCAACCACAAAGTCTACAGTTCAAAGCCACCAACAACTCTGCAGAAGAAAGATGCAGCTTTCTCCTCCTGTAAGACTGACAGTCTCAGAAACCCACAGGGCAGGTCTACTCTGTCCGATGGTATCTTTATGAGTTGGAATCAACTGGATGGCAGTGAGTTTTGCTTGGTTTCTGTGGCCACAAAGATGCAGTAGCAATTAACCTCTCAAGTTCTAGATTGTCCTAGAAATACTCACATGTTCATCTTATATATTTAAAATTTTTCATATTTATATTCCAGATAACACCTAACTGGAGCAAGCTTGTCTGTAATTCCCATGTCAGCATGCCCTTTACAGAAATGTTTAATGTCCTTCATGAATAGATTAAATAGTACCGTAAAGGTAAAAAACCTGTCAAACAAAATGAGTTATGAAGGTTTACCTGTGCTGGTAATATAGCATGCAAGAACCCAGCTTTATTAAGGTGTTTACATGCTGACACCAAAGAAGTCAGCCTGGTCCTGTCCACAGGAGCATTACGGTCATACAGGTCAACAGCAAAAAGGTCTTCAAGGCTGGACATGTCAGAGAAACAAAATGAAAGCTGTGTCAGGTCTGATGTCATTAAATTACTAAAACTGTATACATTGTTTATGATAAACACCAGTTACTAATGACCAGGGACTCAAACTCACTAGTGTAATCTTGGACAACAAACAAAAGCCAGTACCAAGAAAGATGCAAGCTTCTAACTTAGCTATGGAAAGCACATGAAGCAAACCACACAGACTCTGGACTGTCCTAAAGTACAAGAAACCCAAACTTACCCACTGCCAACAAGTTGGTCCCAACTCACAGCAACACATTAAGATAGAACTCTTTCTTAAGGTTGCCAAGGCTGTAACTCTTTACAGGAACAGACAGCCTCATCTTCCTCCCATGGAGTGACTAGTGAATTCAAACTGCTGACCTTGTGATTAGCAGCCTAATGTGTAACCAATTACACCACAAGGATGCAGGAAGGGCTTTTGTGAAATATGAGATCTTCAAACAAGTGATGTCTCTTATTCAACTCTTTTTTTTTTTGTTTTGTTATTACATGTTTGCTCTAGAAAGTACCACAGGATACAATTTCTATTCCCTTAATGTGTTGCTCTCAGAAACCCCCAACACCTCTACGCTGTCCTGTAGGGTCACTTTGAGTTGGTATTGCCTCGATCGATGACAGTGAGTTTTTGAGTTCTAAGCTAGGGCACACAAGCTAACAAACAGCATCATGCCTACCTCTGCACGGGTATTTGTTCCTGAAGGTATGTCTTCAGGATTTCTTCATAGGGCAGCTTCTTCAGTGCTGACATCAGGTTCACACACACACCGGGAAGACGATTCATGACCTGAACATCTCCCACATTGAAGCCCATGCTTGTGGGATCACACAGTGTTTTCACCACAAGCTTCAGGAGGTTGGTGATGAGGAAGTCCTTTTCAAGCAGCTGTAAGAGATGATTTGAATCAAAACCTATTGCACTAGATCAGTCATACGTCTACTACAGGGTAAGGGCCCTAACATTGCGAATTCTGATCTGTTTAAGATAAAAAGGAAACACACACACACCCGTTCTGTGTACTCCTCACAACTGTTTTTATACTTGAGCCAATGTGGCAGCCACTGTATCAATCCACGTCATCTCCGGCCTTCCTCTTTTTCACTGCTCCTCTACGTTATCAAGCACAATGTCATTTTCTAGGAATTGGCCTCTCCTGATAACATGTCCAGTGTACATGAAATGACATCTAACCATTCTTCCTTCTAAGGATCATTCTGGATGTATTTTTTACAGAACAGATTTGTTTGTTCATTTGGCAGCCAATGTTACTTTCAACATTCTTCCCCGGGACCATGAATGAAAAGCAGAGATTCTCTTTCCAACTTCTTTATTCATAGTTCAACTTTCATATGCACATGAGGCAATTAAAAATACTATGACTTGAGTCAGACAAACCTTATTTCTCACAGTAACATTCTTGGTTTTCAATACTCTAAAGAGGTCTTGTGCAAGCACATATGCACAACGCAATGCATCTTTTATTCTTTTGACTGCTGCTTCTATGAGCACTGATTGTGGATCCAGCAGGATAAAATCCTTGACAGCTTCAATTTTCCCCCGTTTATTATGATGTTACCTGCTGGTCCACTTGTGAGAATTTTTGTTTTCTTTGCATTGAGTGGGAATCCATACCACAGGCTGTAATCCTTGATTTTCATTAGCAAATCCTTCAAGCTCCCCTCGTTTTCAGCAAGCAAGGTTGTGTCACTTGCATATCGAATCTTGTTACCAGCCTTCCTCCAATCCTGAGACTGCATTCTTCTTCATATAGCCCAGCTTCTCTGATTATTTACTCAGCATAAAGATTGAATAAGTATGGTGAGAGGATACAACCCTAACTCACACTTTTCTGACTTTAAGCCATGCAGTATTCCCTCGTTCTGTTTGAGCAAATGCTTTTGATCCATATACATAAGTATATGTTCTGCATAAGTACATAAATTATTCTGAAATTCCCATTTTTCTCAAGCATATCCATAGTTTATTAGGGTCAACAGAGTAATTTTTTTGCACAGTAAATAGAACATAGTAAATATATTTCTGGCATTATTTGCTTTCAAAGTCCATCTGACAACAGCAATGATATCTTTTCCCATGTCATCAAATGAATGTGGCCTGAATTTCTGGCAGCTCCTTGTCAATGTACTGTTACATCCACTGTTGGATGCTCTGAGGCAAAACTTTACTTGCATGTGATATTAATGATACTGTTCTATAATTTGAGTATTCTGTTGAGTCAGGATTGTTGAAGTAGGTACAAATACAATCTCTTTCAGTCAGTTGGCCAAGTAGCTGTCTTCCAAATTGCTTGGCATAGACAAGAGCGTGCTTCCAGTACTTTGATCAGCCTGTTGAAACATTTCAATTGGTATCATCTCAATTTCTGAAGGCTTCTTGTTGGCTAATACCTTCAGTGCAACTTGGACTTCTTCCTTCAAAAGATTGTTTCGTGAAGATATGTTCCCACCTGAAATGGTTCTTTTTTGTATAGTGACTCTGTGTGCCTCCTTCTTCATTCAATATCTTGTCTGAAGAATGTTTGAACATTGTTAACTTGCGGCTTGAATATTTTCTTGAGTTTTTTCAGTTTCAGATAATCTGAGCATGTTCTTGCTTTTTGGTTTCCTAATTCTAGGTCTAAATCATCTTTTGCTGTCTTTCATGT